TTAAAAAGCTACACAGGAAAATTAATTTTAATGACATTTTATTTAACATAATATATCCAAAATGTTATCATTTCAACTTGTAATTAATATAATAAAATTATCAATAAGAGATTTTACATTGTTTTTTCATATTAATCTTTCAAAGATCCAGTGTGTATTTTTCACTTAGATTGCACACTTACAGTATGTCTCAATGTGGATGACTACATTTTAAGTGCTCAATAGACATGCATGGCTAGTGATGACCATATTGGATAGTGTAGCTTCCAATCACCTTGAACCACACACTTCCTTATTAAACCCCTAACACCCAAGTTAAACCTTAGAAATAAGACTCCAAATGCTGTCTATGTTAGTCTTGAAATAATAAATGACACCTCCACCCAGCATCTTTACATCCTTTAAAATTTTATGTCTCTCCCTTGGAAGTTCTAATCCACTAGACTGTGTTCCTACAGCTTCACCCACCAAGTCAGTGGGCATCATACTTGCTTCTACATGAAATTTAACATACTTTCCACTTACACACTACAAAATTCATCAAAAACTGATCTTGTCATTTTGCCAAGACCAACTCAATAAAATGTTTCACCTCCTACGTTCTTGCAAAATGTGATATATTAAAATTGTGCTGAGAAAAATAGCATGAAATTACTGTGAATATATTTGTAACTTAAATGTGTTAGGTCAACTAATATGTGAAATGAAATCTTCCAAGAAACAGATGAGCCAAGAAAACATATAGAGGAAAACAAAGTGGATTGAAATTCAAGCTGGGATTCCAGTCCTAGCTCTGACACCAGGTAGTTTTCTGTTCTTGGGAAACATACAAATATTTCCTAATGTCCAAAGTGTGATATAGTATATAAAGGATGAAATGATTCCTAAACCCCATCCAACACTGAATATTCTATAACTGCAGAAACTATTTTCATAAAACCAAGAAGGAAGAGTTGGGGGTGAGAGTGGGGAGAATAAATCCACTTAGTAAAAATATTTTTCCTCTACAGAAAGGATAGAAAACACTGGAGCTTGGATTCTTCATTTAAAAAATAATAATTGTAATAAAAAATACCCTAATTAAAAAATCCTCGGATCCCTTCTCCCAACTCCTAAAATTCTTTTCAAGAGAAGGTAATTCTGCTTAGGGTTTTCTTCAGGGAAACTTTTACATCCTTATTCCTCAGGCTATAGATTAATGGGTTGAACATGGGCACCACAATGGTATAGAACAGGGAAGACACTTTCCCTTGGTCAAGGGGTAAAATAGAAGGTGGTTTAAGATACATAAAAGCCCCTGACCCAAAGAAAAGAGATACCACAATTATATGGGAACTGCAGGTACTGAAGGCTTTGGACCTGCCCTCACTGGAGCTAATGTGGAGAATGCTTGAAAGAATAAAACCATAAGAAATAAAAATGGTAACAATGGGCACCCCAATGCCAATAGTTACAACAATGAAGACCACCAGCAAGTTGATGTAAGAGCTGTTGCAGGAGAGCTCAAGGAGGGGAAGGATGTCACACATATAGTGATTGACAAGGTTGTCTGCACAAAAGGTTAGAAACANAGGGGAAGGATGTCACACATATAGTGATTGACAAGGTTGTCTGCACAAAAGGTTAGAAACACTATATTTCCTGTATGGGCTACAGCCCCCAAAACTCCCATCCCATAGACCCCCAACAAAAGGAGTAAACACATCTGAGGGGACATGGTGACCATATACAACAGTGGTTTACAAATGGCAATATAACGGTCATAAGCCATGGCTGACAAGATGAAGGATTCAGAAATTGAACATGGGCACCACAATGGTATAGAACAGGGAAGACACTTTCCCTTGGTCAAGGGGTAAAATAGAAGGTGGTTTAAGATACATAAAAGCCCCTGACCCAAAGAAAAGAGATACCACAATTATATGGGAACTGCAGGTACTGAAGGCTTTGGACCTGCCCTCACTGGAGCTAATGTGGAGAATGCTTGAAAGAATAAAACCATAAGAAATAAAAATGGTAACAATGGGCACCCCAATGCCAATAGTTACAACAATGAAGACCACCAGCAAGTTGATGTAAGAGCTGTTGCAGGAGAGCTCAAGGAGGGGAAGGATGTCACACATATAGTGATTGACAAGGTTGTCTGCACAAAAGGTTAGAAACATTATATTTCCTGTATGGGCTACAGCCCCCGAAACTCCCATCCCATAGACACCCAACAAAAGGAGTAAACACACCTGAGGGGACATGGTGACCATATACCGCAGTGGTTTACAAATGGCAATATAACGGTCATAAGCCATGGCTGACAAGATGAAGGATTCAGAACAGACAAAGAAACAAAAGAAAAAGAGCTGAGTCATACACCCTGCATAGGAGATGATGTTCTCCTCTGAGACAAAACCCATCAGCATTTTGGGGACGATGGCAGTAGAGAAACTAAAATCTATGAAGGACAAGTTAAAGAGGAAAAAGTACATAGCGGTGTGCAGGTGAGAATTGAGCCCAATCAGGGTTATCAAGCCCAGGTTCCCCACCACGTTGACCACATAGAAACCTAGAAACAGGAAGAAGAGGGGGATCCGGAGTCCTGGCTGGTCGGTCAAGCCTGCGAGGATAAACTCTGCCACGGAGGTGGAGTTCTCAGCAGCCATTCTCCTCTGGGAGGGTCCGTGAGGAGAAAAGAGTCACGGAGAGAGATATGTCATTCTTGAGAATAACATCTGAACAGAGAGACTTTTGAACTTCCAGAAGATGATATTTCCTTATGCCTATGTCTCTGTTTTCACAGCCCCAAGTGTCTTTCACCATCCTAGTAACTGCCTGAGCTTGAAGACTGCCTGCAGAGTGAAGGCTGGTACAACTGAGGAGACAGGCCACAGAGCTGAGCTGAGAGGACCCCTCATCCTTTACTGTGGCCCTTCTCTGGTACTTCCTTCCCTCTACTCCCCTTGATCAACTTGTTAAGACCTGGGGCACTTCTCTAGAGAGATTCTTAAGAGGTGGAAGCCATCTGACCCTGCCCAGACCTTGCATATTGGGGTCTGTACTAGGCAGAGCAGGAAGATGAGGCTGCGTTGATTGGAGTCTTTAGCTGGCGTGACTGTGGAATTATTATATGATAATAATAATAGAGTAATTATGTAAAGCTATTAATTAAAAGCTAAGAAAAAAGAAGAGAAACATATTGAATTTTTCTAAATGCTGTGTGTCATTACAGCTCTCCCCACTTTACAGAGGAGAACCCTGGGCCTAAGCAACTTGCACAGAGTCCCATGCTACTGAGTCACAGCAGCAGAACTCGGGCGGTCTGGCTCCCATGTATCTGAGCTTTTAACCACTCTGCCGCAGGACCCAGCAGGTCAGGCAGGCACTCACCCTGGAGCCACAGCGCTGTTCTCTACTGCCTCCTGTCCTTCTCTTTCATGGAGACGCCAATGGCCCTGGTGGAAAGAAGGTAACAACTTGCAGCTCAGACCTCTCTGCTTCTGCTTCTCCACTCTTGAGGATCAATATCTCTAGTTTATCTTTGTTCTTTCGCTGAGCTGAGGAGCACGATCTCTGATTGTGGATTTGCCCCGAGGCTCCTGTCCAGCTTCCAGGAACGAGATGGTGTCCTTTCCTAACACCCTGAATAACAGCAGACTAAAGAGTTTTATTCTGGATTGGAGATCTCAGGGAGCTAGTTACAGAGGCTCCCACAGGACCATGGCCCAAAGCCACCTTACCTAAGGGAAAGGAAATGTTTGTTTATACCCTTGATAATAATTCACATGGCTTCTAATGACCTATTCTTTCATTCACGATACATGTTTTCAGATACAAGTAAGAGCAGAGCACTATGGGAAAACATAAATCTTGCTGTCATGTACTGAGCACTTACTGTGTACCAAACACTGACCCAGCACCCTCATAGGGTCACCAAGGATGCAATGACAGTGTAGAAATGATTTACCTCATTTATTACTCACAACCGCCTCATAAATCAGATCTGCTTATCTCCACTTTAAAAGTGAGGAACACACACAGCTAGTGGATTTCAGAATCTTGAGTCGAACCCTGGTCTGTCTAACTCCAAATTTCACAGGGGCAGCGGACCCTGCTGAGCTTCTTAAGCAATCACAAGGTACTTAATGTACGTTACCTGCTGCACCCAATTTTGTCTCCAGACACCAGTCCTTGCTCTTTTGTACCGCACGCATTGCCAAAACAGTTTTCGGGAAGGGATTTCATTAATATAGGGACTAATAAAGTTTCATGTGGCAAATTGCCTTCTACACCCCTAACCAGGGGCTCTATATATAAAGAACGACAGATTTCATAGACAAAAAATAAGTCTCTGTTTAGGGAAATTTGAGCATCAGTATGCGGAGGGTTAGCTAAGTTTTTGGTCCTGGGTTAATGGCGTAGATATTTTTAAGGTAGTTAAGAAATCATAACATAAATGCAGAAATCATCTTCTTCCAGGCAAGTCTGACCAAAAGCACTGTACCCAGGCCTCTGTCTGGTGACAAGGACGGCCACATACATCAGTGAGGACTTGCTCACCCTCAGCTCAGTCTAGCAATGCTGGTACCACATCTATCAATTTACACCTAAAACTGTGCACATTTCAGGGTGACTCTAGTGAATCTTGATCCCTGTCTCAATCCCACTGCGCAAAAGCTACAAATGAGAAAAGCAATACATTAAAACAAAATTAAAATAAGCCCATAAGGCAGGCTCTCCTTAAGCTCCAAGTGCAAAGATGTTGGGGGTTCTCTGGAAGCTTGGGGGGATTTTGTGTGTTACTTCAGAAACAGTTGCCATGGCAACTTCATTTTCAAATGCATTTTAGGCAGAGCTTCTCTAAAGCTGTGTTACCTGATGACTCGCTCCAGAACAAGCATGCACAGTACTGTCAACTTCAAAAACGAATCTCTGAAAAATGGCTTCCTTCTATTTATTTCTAATTTAAACTATATATTATACATGTAACATTAGGGAGCATGTGAAGATTTACATACAATAAAATGTCTTTGCATGTGTGTTTCATGTATGTGCATTGTCTCTCCGACTTCTGGTAGATCAAGATTTGCAGAAGGATTGTCCAAAGCCAATCAGTAAACATCATTAGGTTCCCAACTTCAATAAGAAGAGGCACAAATTTGGCAGGAGAGGAGAGATGGCAATTGAGGGTCTTCACTGAAATAGCGTCAATCAACTCCTGAGAGAAAGTAGATAAAATTAAATTCAACTATCAGCAATAACATGGGTCTGCATTATATCTTACATTAAATTAATTTAAATAAGTTATCTGGCAATGTGATATGCAGGTTCACAGATACAAAATGCATGGTTCCTGTCAGAAAGAAACTTACAGAACTAATAGAGGCATCTCCCAGATTGGCTCTTCTTCCTACCGCTGTCCCTTCATAGTTCACATTTACCAGGGTTCCGTGTTCAACCTTCCACACTTTTTTCTGCTTCCTTAAATTCTTGCTGAGTTCATTTGTCTCATGGTTTCAACAACCCCGCTATATGGATGGCTCTTAAATTTGTGTCTTTAGCTCTCAGTTCTCTGTTAGGCTCCTTTCCTGTGTACCCAACATTTTTTCTGGATATTTGCCAAAGGCTGTCCTATGGTCATCCCTGAACTCGGTTTACAAAGATGAACACAACTTCTTTTCTCCACAAAATGTCCTCTCAACTTATCCTTTTATTTATTTGCGTGTAGTCAATGTTGAGAAAGTAGAGTATAAAATTCGTACAGTTATTCTGAGCCCTGGTTTTTCTAGGGCAGTCCCTATTCATGCCTATTATCCCAGAAAAATTATTAGTAGCCCCCCGGTCACTCCGACGTGTATGCTAGTTGAATCAGTATTCAGAGCATGAACTTTGAAATCTGGCAAACCTTAGCACAAATCTGGCTCTACCACTTACTGTTTGACCTTGGAAAATTTGTTAAAACTTTCTATGAGTTTCTTTTATCTTAAAATGAGGAAAATAACCACAACTCAAAGGATTGTTTTAATGAATAAATAGCCTCTGGCACAAAAAATAAGTTTGTTGTTGTTGTTGTTATTATTATTATTATTATTATATAAATAAGTACATAAGGTATATTACTTTAATTTTAAATTTTTTTAATAAACAAAACTTATTTATTATTTATTAGGATAATAACTATATTGTTAAATGAAAGTAGCTTCAGAATGGGCTAGAACAAGAAGAGACTGAAAGGGAAATCAGTTCAAAGGCTTTACACAAGCTGCAGGGAAAAAGATGAACAGTGCCACCTGTTATGATATGACAAAATGCAAAATAAGATTTAGTGTTTCTATGATTCGAGAGAGAACAACAGAGAAAAGGAGGCACAAAGCAAATGTAATTTAAGTTTTCAAGCCCAAGGAAACAGGAGCAGGATGACAGGAATGAGAAATAAGGAGGGGGAAGGGTAAAGAGTTGGATTTTAGACAAAATCATGAAATGCTAGTGGGGCCTCCAAATGGCCAAGACCAGAAAGACGGAGAAAACTGAAGATCAGAGCTTGAGTGAAAGGGATCAGATATAAGTTGGGAAATCATCTGAACTGAAGGGATCACAGAGAAATGGAGAAATTGCATCAAGAAGGACTGTGTAGGGCCGGCCCGGTGGCGCATTGGATAGTGCGCCGCTTGGGAAGCGCGGCAGCGCTCCCACCCGAGGGTTCGGATCCCACATACAGACCGGTTCCCGCTCACTGGCTGAGTGAGGCGCGGGAGCAACACCGAGGGTTGCAGTCCCGTTGCCGGTCCCCGGTCCGGTACGGGGGCAACACTGAGGGTTGCGATCCGTTGCCGGACACGGAAAAAAGACAAAAGACCAAAAAAAAAGGACTGTGTAAAGACAAAAAATCAAGGGTAAGAATTGAATCTTTCAGAAATGCCAACAAATACATTGAGGGAAGGAAACTGGCCAAAAGAAATGTCAAAAAAAAAAAAAAGGCACGTGTAGCAACTGAGAGCAAGAATTTGAGACAAACAAACCTCGAATTAAACCCCAGCTGTATTTCTCATTTCTTGGGTGAACCTAAGTTACTTAACCTAATTAAGACTCAGTGTCCCTGTCTAAAAAACAAGGATAATAATACCGAATCTGCAGATGTTTACGAGAATTAAATTATACCCCTAGTGAATATTCATTACATAAATATTTGCCAAATTTATGGACGACCATAGAGGCCAACAGTGGAGAGAAGTTCAAGGCTGAGGAATAAATAATGTCACCAAGGTTTTAAGAGGAAGATGAAGTGAAAAATAACCTTGAACTAAGTCATTCTCTCACCCTCTCATTCACTCAATTTTCCTTCCAGCTACTGCACTTAGTCTACTGCACTTAGTCTAATACAGCTTTATACTATTCATTGATTTTTTTCAAGACTGTTCTAAAAGCCCCAACTAGATTAAAAACTTCTTCAAGGAAAATTCTAAATCCTGTAGCTCTGGGGTACACCAACACGTCCATTACTTATCAGATGATGAATACATTATAGATGCTCCTCAAAAACGCTGAACATGGGCTGGCCCCATGGCTCACTCAGGAGAGTGCAGCGCTCGGAGCGCTGAGGCCGCAGGTTCGGATCCTATAAAGGGATGTATGGCCAGTGCGCTCACTGGCTGAGCATGGTGCGGGC